TTTATGAAATTAAAGGAAAAAAACTTAAAAAAAAGAAAAAGAATTCAGCCAACAAATGTAAGAACTGGTAAGCTACAATATACTGTATAACATTTTTTTTGTTTTGGATTTAATACCACTTTAAGTATATCTAAAGCCAAAACTTTTTTTTTTCACTTTGGATAGAACTTGAAGGGCTAAAATCTTTGACAGTCTGTGTACCATTGGTGACATTTCCCATCACTTCGTGTACTATAGACACAACATGAAGTGCGAGGAAATTGATCCAAAGTGAGTTCCCCTCGTAGCTGTCAGTAGAACAAATCAAGAGAGTGCATCTCCCTAACACCTGACAGAAGTTTTAACCCCTCAACACTCTATCCAAAATGGAAAAAACACCATTGGATTCATTTAACAGGCTTTATGAAAGAGGCTGTTTTACAGGTGAATAGAACAAACAAACAATACCAGGCTTCCCTAGCCAAAAACAAATGTACCATACTGGGCCATTTAGTATAGAGGTCATTGGTACAATTTATTTGACATCACACATGTCAAATGCATGTTTTCCACTAATGCCAGTTGTTGGCAGAATAATCTATTTTGTATGTGAAGTTCTATAGGAAAAGATTTATTACTGTCGGTACTAACAGTTCACTTTGTTTGTATATGTTACCTGTCCTTCTTAGTTGATACCCAAACAGGTTAACACTCATGTGAGTTGTGGGTGAGACCACCTCTCCCTGCATGTGGGGGTGACTTTTGGCATGTACTTGCTCACCAATGCCCGGGACCAGGCGGAGGCCATGTTTATGTGAAAGTCGAACATCATAGCGGTACCCTGGCTTAGAGATGGGCCATGCACTGTGTGTAATTATGCGAGAGTTTCTCTGTAAGACCTTCCATTCCATTTCACTAGCACCGTACATGTAGTATGCTGCATTTAGGAGGGACACCTCTGAGCCCATGCTCTCTCCACCAGTCCAGTGTACCTCTGCCACCTCACTCCCAGTGACATAATGGGGTTCCACCAAGCATTAGTGTGGTCCTTATGCCTGCTCTCACTTAACACCTGTACTCTCTTGTACCATGTGGCTAGGTATGTGGGGTTGGTCCCAGATACTTTTGGGGAACCGACTGCTAGAGAGAGAGCCAGAACACTGATCCATTTGCTACCGGAGGACCTGTCACCCATGCCAGGTACCACGCTATACAACCGGCTGCTTCCACTAGTTACCGATTACCCACAGCAACTGCTTTCTCCCTCTACTTGACTTATTGAGTTGACCCTTGACAGGTAGCTTTACTTCATACCCCACATGTGTTTTACTGGCCCTGTTCTTGCATACACCAGAAACCATCATAAACCTCTTTAGAATGACTTCAGACCGGGCTTTGTAACAGTATAAAAAACTTTTACTGTAATTCTTCTTTGCAGAGCAAGTAATGGATGCCACACAATGCAAACCCTAAACTAACTAATGGGGGTGGCTGCCCAGGCATACCATTACATGTGTTAGTCCATGGATGGCGAGCTCCAGCAGCTGGTAATGTCTATCCAAGCACCAACCTTTCAGGTGGATTACATGCGGATTCCTGGGCTCTTGGATGCCATGACATGGCGTATCCCCTTGATCTCAAGCTCCTGTACTCCCTGGAACAGGACCTTTCCCCTATTTATGTATTAAACAGTGTAGAAGACTAGCCCAAGACCAAAAGCCTGGGAACTGAGGTACTGGAAGTTAACCATTTCCCAGCTTGGGCAAGCTGACTACCTTGCTAGTGCAATAAGCCGTAGGCAACGTGCCTACAGTGTGATGTACAGCGTTTGATACTTTGGATCTTCAGTTAAAGCTGCTAGCCATAGTAGTGTTTGCAATGCACAAACAATGATTTGCAAAAAAACAACCCGTGATTATCTGTCGGTTTCTCCTTTCTTGAGCTCAAAGAAGTACCACAATGAATGATAATTATCAGTTGCTGCGTGTACTTGTGACATGCATAAATGTGGCACTTTGGTCTTTGCCTTATAAAAAATACATCACACATTAAATAAAGGTTAAAAGGACAGTGGTTTATAATGTTTGCCTTTTCTTTCCTAATACTGTTCTATTACAACTGATGCAAACAAATGCAAAACAGGGCTAAAGACTTAAAGTACATAAACATTTGACATAAAAAATGCACTAGGTTACAAATACAGTATAACTAGTATTGCTGCTATTACTAAGATTACTATTAGAGTAGATTATTATCAATGCATCAGAGTTACTAATGCATTTATATGTATATATGAATATTTATAAAGAGAGAATAGTGAATGTGTGTGATAATTAGATATAAAGGGGTCTATCTGTAAATGTTTTCGCACATGATTTAGGGCTGGTTCAGATGGGAACATGCACATTCCTGAGTGGTAGGGTTTTGAAGACCATTCATTTGAATGGGCTGCAAAATGCACTGGAGCATGGAAAAAGTAGTGCAAGCACTGCTCTTTCTTAATTCAGTACACAGAGTGTTTGGAAGATGCATTTAGGGTGCCATTAACAATTAATTGGCAACAGAGGCACATGAGGGTGAGGTTACTTACTGCTGTCATTAAAAGAAAAGGAATTAAATTGTTTTTCAGGAAAACCTTTCATAATGTATTATGACATTCTGCAAATCTTTACAATCAAGCAGATTTTAGATTTCTGACGTGTTAAAACAGCTTGTGCACACTACTTGTTGTATAGTCTTCCTAAGAAGCCTGGTTAACATCACAGCAAATAATATCCTATGTTATAATTACTAAAGGCTTATGGAGCAGTATTTTGAACCAGAGAATAAATTCCTTGAGGGGGTGGTCAAGAAAGATTTTTTTTCTTTTATGAGAAGAGCTAAACAAAACTTTTAGCTTTACCACCTTCTGGACCAAAACTGCAGACCACCTGAGAGGTTGAATCCGATAGACACCATTAATTTGTAACCTTTTTTACTATGTAACAATAGAGATCTTTGCGTATTCATTCTGTAGAAACTTGCCTACAGGTAATATTGGCCATTTTTCTCTTGAGCAAAAGCATCCCCTAAGGCAAAAGCATTTAGGCTACCATAGATATAAAACTTACCAAACGCTATAGCTATGCTTACAGTAACTAATTTTATATTCTTTGAAAGCAAACTACCACCACAAAATGTTTTTTGCTACTTTCTTAGGAGTTTGGACTCTGTTGTTGCAAACCTATTTATTTTCTTAAAGTCCTAATTAAATTATAAGCAATCCTAGTGCAATACCTAAACTGTATGTCCAGCCCAAAAACTTATTTTTTTTAGTTCTGCATTGAGGAAGGATTAGAACCACTGTTGTTTTTATGTAAAAATCTTCATCGTGGACAAAGAGTAAAAAAGGCAGCAAGGGTTCTAGTCATCCCCTACTTTACTTATATAACTTATATAAGGCAGTTTTTGTCTGTGTTTCTGTTGGAGGTTTTCATTTTACTTCTCATCTGTTGAAACTGTAAATGAGTGGATATCTCTATAACACAGACATTTCCAACAAGAGTGCTGTGGAACACCAGGGTTCCTTCAGAAGTTGTGAGGGGTTCCTTGAGCCATGGCTAATTGATCTTCTATTTTATGGTGCCTGCATAGTTCCAGGACCAAGGTCACTTGGACAGACAGCAGCATGAAAACAATTATCTTTTTAGTTGTCTTTAAGGGTGACATTCTGAACACCACTGCAAGGGTTTCATTCTTCCTAAGGACCACCAACATAAAGAACATTTTTCCCATTGACCCACGATAAATTTCTTTTAGTAAGGGTTCCTCAAGAACCAGAGGCATAGCTTGAAGCTTGTGGGCCCTAATGCAAAAGTAGACCTGGGGTCCCCCTACTACCACCCGCCACCTCGACCATGTGCCAATATACTCCCATAGTGAGTCCAAGAGCCGAAAAAGTTATTTCAGATCTTTATTTAAATATTGAGATGGTAATTCAAAAGATTTTGGAGAAGCTATCCACATGTTGACATACTTCTTCAACTCTTTTTTTATCAATAGCGTGCTTTTCTTCTGAATACTTTGGAGCAGGCGTAGGCAACCTTAAATCCTTTTTTTAAGGCCTAACTAAATAATAAGGAAAACTTAAAAAAATATAATAAAACAAATGTCACTGTAAAAAAAATATATACTGAGCTCAACTTAAAACTGGACAATGTAATTCAGTAGGGTAATGGACAGTGGTAATAGGGCAGTGGATGGTGTCAGTAGGGTAGTGGGGGTGTCAGGAGGGCAGTAGGACAGTGGGCGGTGTCAGTCAGTAGGGTAGTCGATGATGTCAGTCAGCAGAGCAGTGGACAGTGTCAGTACTGCAATGGACGGTGTCAGTCAGTAGGCAGTAGATGGTGTCTGTAGAGCAGTGGATGTGGTCAGTAGGGCAGTGGACAGTGTCTGTATTTTTTCATTCTTGTTCTTATTCATTCACAAACTGAAGCATCGTAAACACAGTTTACTATCCTTCAGTTATGAATGGACACGGGAGCAATCAGTAACGATCACTCACTGTGTCCATTCAGCAAAGGAAGAGAGGCCAGTAAATTACATATTTACCAGCTCCTTCTCCAGCTCTCCATCCTGAAACACCCCTCACAGCAGCAGGGTTGCAGGGGAACGAGGGGGGTCCAGGGGAGCACACAGGGGTGGCCCAGGGACAGCAGGAAACAAGTAACCTGAATAGGAGTGCTGGTGGCGGTGGCATATAGAGAAACTGAAGCCTTCCATTTCCTTCCTGCAGCCGCTGATTGGTGGTAGAAGGGAGAGGGGAAGAAGTTGGACCTTTGATGTGGTTGTCCCTCTTGAAAAATTGAGGTTATTCCCTATATACTTTTGTCAAATCCTGTCAAACAAACAATCACAGTAGTGTCCATTTGAACAAAAACATACAAGAATAATACAAAGTAGATTGACGTTACCTTCTATGAAGATGTAATTTGTAATCAGACTGGTTTGATTTTACTGATAGATCACTCTCTTGTAAACAGGGGAGAGACGCTCCGATCAGACTCCTAGTGCCCCGATCTTAGCCAATGGTAAATATTCAGCCTGCTTTCTGTTATCTTTATAGTTTATGTTTGTAAGTATGCATGCTTGTGTGTATAGCTATGACATCCTTAAAACAGGACTGTTGTAGGATCACAGCTAGAAAAACTAGGAAACTAAGTTCATGGCAGAGACAGGAAACAGCACAACCACACTTTGGATGCAATGTTATTTCTGCAAAAAAAAATTGAATGTATGTTCTGCAAATAAAACATTTTGGCAACAACACATAGGCTTATTCAATAAGGCAAGCAGATAAATGCAGTTATCCATAGCAATCAGGGTTTATCTGTCACTGATCTGACTTCAGAAAGATGAAATCTAAATGGTGGCTGAATTGGTTACTGCACTTAGGACATTATTGTTGCTACTTCATTGTTTTAGCTTAATAGTTGTGCTTTAAAGTAGACATGACGTATCACATTATATAAAATATAGCTACGGAAAACTATTTGTGACCTGATTTGGATGTGGATATCATTGCTCTTTAAATACAATCTGATAATAAAGAAGACAGTCTCAGTTAAACATCAGCATATCTGATATTTTACATTGCAATGTCCTTTTGCCAGGCAGCTCTGATCAGGCAAACTTCATACAGTTTCTGGTTACTTGATGCCATCCATTACTTCTTATTGGTTCATTGCTAAGATGGGTTGTTTCAATGACCAATGAGGATGTATGAGTGGTGGAAAGTGGCATGGCATGCAAGCTTAGACACCACCAGAAAGTGCTGAAGTTTTGCTCAAGCAGAACAACCTGGTATTTGGACAAAGGATTGGCAATGAATGTTGCTGCAGATATGTATAGGCACTTTTAGTCACCTCTGCTTAATACCTGTCAGCAGTTTTTTTCTTTTGTTGTTGAAGTAATTTAGGGACTCTATGGTGAGAATAAGAATTAATGGCTCAGTTTAGAGTTCAAGTGTGGGGGACGGGATTAAGCATACTTTAGGGGTTTTGTGTTTTGTGGGTGGGGGTTGCAGTCTAACATTAGGGATAAAGTGTTAAAACAGAATTCCCAAAACAGTTTCATCCAAGGCATGCCATAAATAAATTTCACAGTTGCCAGTGTGCTTATGTTACCTCTCAACTGAGCAGTCCAACTATCAAATGGCTGGTGTAGTAACTGATCACATGTGCAGCATCAGGGCAACTACAGATGACAGACAAAGATGGCAGCTTCCTTTGCTTTAAAGGATAAGAGAGTATAGAGTCAGGTTAAGTATAAGGGTTGGAGGAGATTTAAGTCGGCCTTAGAGCATTCAGCAGGAACCGGACGAGATTTCAACCATGTATGGGCAGGCTGAATGTACCCAAATTGATCGATCTATCAGATTTTACATGTGATTTTTGGTGGCTGTTATAGCCACTAGCAATAATCACTGTGTTATCCAGGCGGGGATGGTTTCCCTCACCTCTCCACCAGGTGAGCACAATGGCTCAGCGGGAAGCATTCCCCTGTCAACACTCAATCAAGCTAAATGTTATAACCAGCTGAACTGTTAAGGGACAAGTTATGTTTTAAAGCAAAACTAAAGTCACCGTACTTACCTCCTCTCCAACAGTCCAAAGTCTGCAAGGTCCCTGCCAGCACCAGTCTTCTAGTGTCAGTCTTCAGGTATATCCATAGGCCCGTACAGGATGACATAACTCCTACACATGCACAGCAGTCACTCATCGCTGCACACAGGGATGATGTAAGCTAAGCTGCACATACACAGCTCAGTCTACATGCAGCAGAAAACTGCGAGAAGGCAGATAGATGTATTTTGTATAGCCCGCCTGCCCACCCACAAGCTTTTGTAAAATGGCTTCAGTTCCACTTTAAGAGTTTGCCCATTTAAGTATTAAAGATTTGTTTTCGGGCTTAGGTTAAAGGGAACTAAACCCATCAATTTAATGGTTTCTCAAAAGAATAATATTCAAGGCATGCTGTGAATAACTGTCATAACTGCTTGCTCAATCTACCAAACTGTCAAACCATCAAATGGTTGGTGTCATAACTGATCTCACGTGCAGCATCATGGCAACTGCAGATCAAACAAAGGCTAACACAAGAGAGAAAACAAATACGTGATATCCAGTTTGGGTTTATATCTGGTGTGTTTAGGTTGCACAGGGGTAAGTGTTAATATTGCGCTTTGTTTATTAGTGTAGTGCTCGCCCCGTTAATGGTAGTTGAATTTTATGGGTCTCCCTAAGCTCTGCATGGCCAGGCAACATGCATTTTCCACATCTTCACACACAGAGTCAGTAAAACAGTCCTGGAGCTTGGTTTTATTATTTTTATTAGGGTTAACAACTTGGATGGGGTCTAGGGGTATATGGGATGGCCAAGGAACTGTAAAACGTGAGGACAACTTCTTAGGAAACACTGTACACTGTACAAAAATGTGGACCAAAAAGTAGCAGCTGTCTCTTTAAGGAGCTCTGATGTCCCATTTGGTGTAAATTCTCAGATCCCAGATGAATCCTTCTTCTTTAACCCAGCTGTCCTGAGGCTATCCCTGTGAAAGGGATTCTAAGATCTGCAATTAAGTAGTCCCAGATGAGAACTATAAACATATACAAATCAGTGAGCGCTTAAAACAGCTGCTAATGCACTACAAGGCAACCAAATAACCTCCAAAACACATATAAAATATTGACGTGCAGTGCTTATAAAACCAATTAAATATACCAATGAGGTATGGGATGTACCAAGTGCTCACATGTATAACGTGCTACGATAAAATTCAACATAAGTGAAAAATAAGTGTAATAATATCATCAAAGTGCTTCAGTAATAAATAAACTTATAGTCCTTGTGGAAGTGAACAAATACATTAATGTACGTAAATCTGTGATTGAGTGAAGATCTACATTCAAGTGATCATGAATCATATTCAATGTGCTGATGAGATATTCGGTGTTGTGCCAGGGATATAGTAAAATTACGCACTCACCAGAGGTGCATTTTTAATATGCATATATGTGTATGGTATGTTCAGCCAGAGGTCCCCTTTAAGGTGGAACGGATGATGCAGCCTGGAAAGGAATCTCCCTCCTCTGGATCCTGAGCAGCTCTGCTGCTGTCTTGCACAATGGGCTCTGTAAATTATTTAGCTTGATGTGGAGCCCACTGTTTGGTCCTCCTACTCTCACCACAGTCCGCTGCCCCTGGTTCCCGCCTTCGGTGCTCGGCTCTCAGCGGCTCCGCCAGCAGCAGCGGCCATTCATCACCAGGTAAGGAGAGACACAGCGATCGCCGATCACACCGAGGCTGACGAGCACTTTAACCCGAGTGAGGGACAATCAGGTAGATCCCGGGATAGGCAGACGGCTGCTTGGAGCCCCAGACTATGGCTCGCATAGGAAGGCTGAAGAGAATGTTCATCGACCAGACAGACTAGCCAGGAGCACCTGATGAGATCTAGTTGGGTACTGCATCTGACCGCCCTCTCCCCTCTCTGGTCCAGGGGGTATAGAAGTACTCACACCTTTCCTGTTGCTTGCTTGTTGGGTTACAACTGCTTTCAGGCATTACGCTGGACTGGCTCCTTCCCTGCTGACAGGATGTCTTCCTAGGAGACTTGTTGCACATTGGAGATCCCTTCCATCCAGCACCAGCCTTTAGGTAGGGCCCCTCCCAGGCTCCACACTCCAGCACCTTCTCTCAGTCAACCTTCTACCCAACTCCCCTGCTGCACAAGCTCTGCCACATTTAAGGGTTGCTCTAAGCCACCATGCCTGACCTCCTGTCTGGGGATTGGCCAAGTTCCCTCAAACATGCAACTCTGGGCCTCTTCCCCTCCTCTACCCCTCTTCAAGAAAGTTCTAGTAGTTTCTGGAAGGGTAGGAGGGCTCCATAGCCCTAACCTGCAGAGCCTCCCAGCCTCTCCTGAGGTGACCTCTCAGCCTCACTCCCAGGCTGACTCATCTAGCAAGCCTCTGATCCACAAAAATCCTATCTAGCTAAACTAGAGAGTGCTACATCTATGCAACGTAAGGCAAGCTGCAGTAGCGACACTAGTTCTCAATTCAGGGAACCTCTTGCTGAAATCTAGCAGTCCTGGATACCCAATACCTTCAACAAGTTAACAGATATTTGTGGGCTGTAGAAACAAAAAGAGTATGAAGAGTGTTACAGAAACACAGGAAAATCATAACTATACTGTATATGCCTAGTAACTTGAATCCAGGACTATAGTGCTGCAAGGCAAGAAAGTAACCCTTTCAGCCAATGTGAAAAATGTGTAAGTTTTGATTACCTTTCTTATTACGCCTCATATGAAGGTTAGATTACATTTAAGACATCAATGCAGAAATCTGAAAATTAAAAATGATTTGCGATTTTTTTCTTTCAGTTGTACATAGCAATAGAGCCATCTACAGGCTAAATGTGATCCTTCAAAATTAATGCTATAGTGTGGGAAAATCTGAACTGCAGTATTTATTTAGTGACACATACGTTTTCCTGCCTTTGGCATTTTAAACAACATGCTAAATCTATTTTTATGAACTGAAAGTGATAATTCAGTGGAAACAGTGAGTGTGATGTATGCTGAGAGGTTGTTTGCCATTGCTACACAATTTTCAGTGGTTCGGTGAGAGTGCTGTGTTCCTTTAAGGTAAATAATCATTAGAACACCATCGTGCAGGCATGTCAGCAGTGCCTAAAGAAGTAACCCCAGAGAAAAGGCAAAATATGAGACTTTCCAAATAAAGTAAAATGTGCTACTAAACAGTGGCGTCCCTAGGGGGTACGAGTCGCACCGGGTGACACCACAGGGGGTGCAGGAGCAGGATGCCAGCAGAGCTTCTGGGCTCCGTGAAGGTCCTGGCCAGTTATTTTGGTGATCCCGGATTACAGACAGTGACAACTGTCCCCAAAGTAGCAGTAAAATGAGTATCCCCGGTGTAGCGGTAAAATGAGTGAAGATATGTATCCCCTGAAGCAACTGTGCATGTGCCGGTTTCAGGCCGAAGAAGCCAATCACTGATCTCCG